CTTGGCCGACAAAGTGCCTCTGCACAGCAGCAGGTGCTACTGAGGATGAAGAACCCCCACGCGAACCAAAGCGCATGAACTGCAGGCACGGCACCGGTGAATTATTCATTCCTGTTTAGGATTTACGGTTTAGAATTCTTTTGCGTTTGCAGGGATTTCTAACACTGGGGGAAGACCTCGCAGCCCTCCAGCCAACCATAGTTGCTGCCTCGGGAGGCATTTTGCCCATGTTGCATTCGGCAGTGAGTCCAGCGGGGCTATGCGGTGCCTGCCGCTGTTTCCTGTGTGAAGATTTGGTGGTGGTTCAGTGTTGCATGTTGCTTACAAGGAGCACATATCTTGTTCATAGTATTCTTATCTGTTTGCGAAGAGCCCATGGATTGTAAAAAACGCGTTCTATGGCCTATGTTAACGGGTCAATGGATGTCAGCAACACACTGTAGTATAGGATGATAGTTTATAGAAACGAGATCCTTCAAAATGATCCATACCTAAACTTTCGCCCCAAAGCCCTACTACAGATAGGTGTGTCAGTTCTAAAACATGGGACGTGCCTTATGAATAGCCAACGAAGCCCACACCCTTTTTTTTTTCTATTCTCCTTCATTTCAATTTCGCCTCACAAGGCTCAAACGAAACAGGGGTGCATACAATCTTGATTTGTGTTTTTGCTTCCTCGGTTATTGGTTTTCTAGTTCGTTCGCCTTTTGAAACGTGTTTTTGGTTTTTTGTCATTTTGCCCTTTGTTCCAGTTTAATATGCATTTATTTGTTTATTGATGTTTGTATTTTATCTGTTCATTATTTCAAGTATTATTTCTTCATGGGTTTGTTTGTTCAGGCGAAGCGGACGCTGAAGAGCTTGGGCCGGCTGCGCCGATTTTGGGTTTTACTCAAGCTGAAGTGGAGGGCCCGAAAGTATTGGCAGATGGGGGACTTTGAAATCTTATCGCGACTGGTGAGTTGTTTGTATAGTTTCACTCTTCACCTTAGTAGTCTGTTTCAGTACGATGCTTGGTTTGCTCCGTTGATGCATCTGGATTTAGTTCAATCGTGTTAGATTTACGTTAATCGTGTGATTTGCTTAGCCTCTGCGGGTGTTTGTGCGTATTCTGATTGGATGACATGTTTTTGTTGTCGGTGTTTCTCGGGGTAGCGCGTTCACTTAGTTGTTACGTTGCTCCTCTGCTCTGAGCATTGGGCCTACCTGCATGTGTACTGAGTTTCGGCTTTCCGTTTCATTCTGTTGCATTAAAGTGTTTTGCCCGCTTATTTACCAGACGTTTCAGTGGTTTCCTTCTCCTAGTTTGCTGTTTGTGCTTCTGTTTCTGTAGTTCGCTTGTGTGTTTCGCTTACATTTTTTTCTATGTTTGGTGTGCTTGCTTAAGTTATACGGTTTCTTAGATTGCACATGAAGACTCCGAGCGTACAGTTTATGCATTGGAGCTTTTATTTTCTTGAGTGGTTGCTGAAAACAGCAAACCCAAACCCTAACCTGTAGCTCACTTGTACTGCCCCCCACGCGTTGCGGCTGTTCTGTCTCTCCTGTACGCACAACGAAACGAGTGAATTAAGGTTCCACATAGAATACACGCATGCATGTACAAAATGGTAATATAGAGGGGGGTACAATACAGAGGGGACGAGTAAAAAAGGAGCAGCACGCAACACAAAGAGAGCAAGACGTGAAACAGCGGCGAACAGAGAGAGAAACATCGAGGAAAGAGAGGGAAACAAACAGGAAGAAGGCACAGTGGAGCAACATGAAAGATGAGAATTTCAGGACGTGCACTGCCTGTGTTGCGTTTTTGCTTTTTGTTTCCAGCAGCCGTTTGAAGAACTGAAAGCTCAACTGGCCTCCGTGCACACCATCATTGCTGCGCCGGCTTTGGTTTCGAGCGAACTCATAAAGGAGTTGCAGCTGTTGTATTCAGTAATTATTGTGCATGTAAGTTGCAGTCTGCACCCTTTTGCTTAGTTTTTTTTCTGTGTTTGCTTCTCGTCTAAGCTCTCTTGTCTTCTGTGCGGCCTGTTCGCGTTTGTCCTTGTGTTCGCTCCTCCAAAGCGGTCATGTTCGGCGGTGTTATCTGTTCTATGTGTTGCCTTTGTACATGCTCCTCTCTGTTTTTTTTCTCATTCTCTTTACGTATGCTCCTTCTTATCCTCTGCATCTGCAATTGCTATCCTTGTGCCATAATTACTGTCCTGTGTTCCCTTCTTCATGCCTTCCTTCTCTGCATGTTTCTGTGTCTAATGCTCTTCCCCGCACGCATATTTTCTGTCTCGTCTATCTTCGCGTGGAAGTACCTTGCTGTTTTTTATCTGACCTTGACGATACCTGTTTTTGCGGCTTGCCGTTTTTCCTGCGTTTGGGGTTGTCATTGCCCCGGACAGACAGTATCTTTGTCGTGCAGTTGGGCTGCTGCTACGCCTTTTTCCCTGCTGCTGCTACTAGTGCTTCACTAGCGGCAATCGCTGTTGCTGTTGCTGCATGCAGGCATGTTGCTCTGCGGAGACGGGAATAGCGTTTTCTAGTCGAGAGCAAAATCGCATTTTCAGCACAAGGGACGGTTCCANTCTGCGGAGACGGGAATAGCGTTTTCTAGTCGAGAGCAAAATCGCATTTTCAGCACAAGGGACGGTTCCAGAGGCGCCGGCGAGGTGGGCACCCCTCCAGCGTTTGACAGGGTGCGTGCTGCTCCCCTGGGGTGGCCGTCTCCAGTGGTTGCAGTGGAGTTGGAAGAGTTATCTTCAGCAGATAAAGCAAATGCAGTTGACTATCACGGCGAGGAAGTGCCAGGTAGAAGAGCGAGGGAATCATCGCTTGTTTTGAAAATCCCCAAAGACGATAGTAATCAAGATATTCTAAGCATTAGCAACAGCCGCAGCCTCCTCGGCAGCCGCAAGAAACACGGCGTCACAGAGTGAGGCTGCCATTTTCCCCCTAAACCCTAAACACATTGCTGCGGGAATGTGCAACTGAAACAACAGGGACGCGCAGGCATCAGCGAGATATGTTCCTGTCGCGGCTTCTGCATCAGCAGGAGAGAACGCGTGCTGCAGCAGAGATTGGTTGTCCTAGAGTTTAGGGTTTAGGGTTTTTCTTCTTGAGGCCTATGTGTGTTTTTGGCTCAGGGGAGAGATCGTTATCCAGGGCCCTTGCGTTTCCGTCGGTGAGGAGCTGCAGCACTTTTTGTTTGTTTTAAACATGCGCAAGATTTTGGTTAAAACAATTAAGCAGCTGCCTGNGAGCTGCAGCACTTTTTGTTTGTTTTAAACATGCGCAAGATTTTGGTTAAAACAATTAAGCAGCTGCCTGCTGGAGGCGACGAGCACATGCGATGAGTTGTTTTGGTTTGGGTAGAAGGGGATAGGACAACTGTTCCGGACTGCCTCTGTTCAGAGAGGGGAGAACATAGAATTTGAACTCATATTTTATTTTCTGGTGGAGGGCAAGTGCAGCGTAGTGTGTCTTGGGAAGATAGAGAAGGCAGCCACAGCCAGAGGTTATTGTAGGAGACAGTGGCAACAAACTGTATCTTATGGAGAAGACAAATACAGCACGTTATATTTGCTTGGAGGATATATGAAACCGCAGCAGATGTATATTTCGAAGGGAGACCAGCATTTGCATATATGGCGACGTCCCATCTGTGTAGACCCGTGCTGCTGAGTTGCTTGGGTTGAGCATGTGTCTTGCTTCATCTTCTGTGTCATGGGTTTCTGTTTTGATCTGCTTTCGCCTTGAGTTTTTGTTTTCTTTACGTTCCAGTTACTTTGTCTCCGTGAAAAATGACACGAATGGATTTTGCTTTTCTTACATTTCTGAATCTCGTCTCCCAATATAATTAGTTTGTTGTGCTTGTCATCATTCTCTTGTTATTTGCTATCATTCTCTGTCGTTTCGTTGTTGCAACATTTAATTCGATTTCTCAACACCCTCCTTTTGGGGCTTTTCAGGTTATTACCGCCACCAAACGGCGTTCCAGCGTCACCTTACTTCTCGGGGTATGTACAAAACAGGATTAGTTGGGGTCTCAGCCGGCGAGGACCTTCCTCTGTTGCTGACCAGCGCGATCTCGCGAAGTGTACTGACAGCAGAAGGAGAGTTCATTGACTTGGAAGAAGCAGAAAGACAAATCCGAAAAGTTCATGTTGTTAAGAGGGTTTTGTTATATGTGGAGGACTTTCATGTCAGTACACCCCATCAATTCATCTGTTCGACAACGCAACCAGTTTAGACTTTATTCAGTCATTATACAGCAACCACAGACTCTATACCCAAGCTGCTCTTCAGAATAGTTCACTCGTATAAACCTTCATCTCCCTAAACAGTGAACCTTAAACCCTTCTACGTGCATGGTGCGGGTATTGAGCTATGGGTCTCTCAGCCGTTGTGAGGCGAGAGTGTGTAACGTTTTTAGGGCTGAAGCAGATTCT